TGAGCTGAATTCAAACCAGAGGCCTGGCTTGGTCCCACCTCCACCACAGGCAGGGCATGTCTTCTTCTGAATGGAGGCTCTCTATCCAAGGTTCTTTAGCCATTTTGGCAAGACATTGAGGACAGCCTCTGAACTTGACCCTCAATAGCCAGGGGGCTGGCTCTTTCCTGATTCAAACCATCTTTTCTTTGTGCTGCCAAATCCATTACCTGGATTTTCCACAGGATGCTTGATCTCCTTTACCAGGTCAGCATTCACACAGATGGGCCATTGGACAGCTTAGCTGTCAGGCCAGGAGAAGATAAAAGTCGTCTTTTTCATGTTCATCACTTTCTTTTCTACAGAAGAGGAGCAGAGATAGAAAGCAAGAAAAAGTTAAAAGGGCAAATTGCCCTTTTTTCAATATATTTGTGGATCATTACATCACCAACTCCTCCAAAGAGAGTTAAGATGGAAAACAAGCAGATTTATAGATGGTTCAAAGTGATCAAGAAGTAGCCTGAAGTTCTCAAATCTTCTTGGACTTGATGATATCTCACATTTCTATGGCACAAAAAGCTTTATAAAGCACCTTCTTCAGGACAACCCAAGAAGGGCAGTGGAAAGGTCAGGATTTTAATTACAGTATTATCCATATTATTCCACTATGCCATGTCACCTTATCTACTTCATAAAGTTGTTACGTCAATCAACTTAGATAATGTATGTGAAAATGCCTTGGAAGTTTTGAAGTTGGATTAGATGACCTCTGAGCTCTCTTAAAAATCTGGAGTCCCTTCCATGACTTTATGATTAGAATTTGGAAGAGCCGAATTTTAGTCCCTGTTACATTAACTAGCTGTATGACTTTTCTTGGCCTTCATATTATTATCATTATTTCTAACTCTTTTTTCATGGTCTCTGGCTCAAGGGGATATTCAAATTGGAGTACGTTTTGATAACAAAATATGATCCATTGCTTGAAAACACTGTTATTGACTTGTTATTCTGAGACACATGTGGTAGTTAAGAAGGTCTCTATTGAACTAGTTATCCTCTCTCCTTACCCTTTTCAAAGCCAATGCCTGCCTTTTTTTTTTTTTTTGACTATGGAGAGCAATTCACTTAGGAGTAAATATATTCTGGAGCCAAGGGGCTGAGTCTTAATCTATAATAATGCTAATTTTTCTATAGTGCCATAAGGATAGATCTGGAGTTTATAAGCCTATATGCTGGCCTCATGCACACAATGCTTGAATTCATTAAGCTATACTTTGTTTTAGTCTTTTTCTGTTTGTCTCACTCAGTATCTGCATTTGGGTGTTCTTAGAAATAAACTCCACAGAGAACAGATCAGATTGGGCTTCTGTGTAGATAAGTACTTCTGTTAGACTGAAAGGGGCTAGAGTTCTCATATCCCCTATAATGTCCATATTGTCCTTTTCCTGAGAATAATGCAGTTTGATTCAGTTAGGAGAGAGTTGACTAAGAGCTAGAGAATGAACATGCCTCAGTCACCTATTGGTTGGATAAGTTTGGAGAAGTCTCTTTGATTTACAGTTTTGACATCTGTAAAATGGGAATAATGATTGGTGTCTTAATAAGAGAAATGATGATTATAACTGGGAAAAGCTCCAGTCTTTCCCATGAGCTTCAGTCGTACACTACCAAATGCCTGTTGGACATTTCAGACTGGACACCCCAGAGACATCTTCGGCTCAGAGTTTCTCAAACTGTCTTACATCCCAAACTCTCCTGGTTTCTGAACTTAAATATCTCTGTTGAAGGTTCCTCCAAACTTCCAGTCTCCCTGGTTCATAATCTCTGTGTTATCCTGGCCTCCTCACTCTCCTTCATTCCACATCTTGCCATTTTTACTACATCCACGGCATCTCTCAGTCTGGCTCCTTCTTTTCACTCACCCCAGCTCCTTCCTTTGTTTAGGCCCTCATCATCTCTTGCCTGGATTATTGCAAACATCTCCTGTTTGTTCTCCCTGCCTCAAGTCCCTCAACACTTTTGTCCGCCCTCTGCTAAAGCAATTTTCCTAAAACTCAGACCTGACCTTACACAAACAAACTTGAGCAGTTTCCTATGGACTGTAAGACACCAAAAAAACTCTGCTTAGTTTGAAGGTCCTGAAGAAACTAGCCCCACCGTGCTCTTTTGCCTCTCTGAATTTTGCTTTCCCTGACAGGGGAGCCTGACGAGCTAGCTTTCTCTCCTCATACATGACATCCCATCTCCCACCTCTGGGACAGTGCATTGGCTGGTTTCTATTCTGGATTGCACCTCCTCCTTACCTCCAATTCACGGAGCATCTCTCTTCCTTTCAGATAAAGCTCAAACATCCCCTAGTCCCCTCCCTCCATCCTAAACTACTTTGTATCTAACTTGTTGTTCAGTTTCAGTCATGTCTGACTCCTTGAGACTGCATATAGGGTTTTCTTGGCAAAGATACTGGAGTGGTTTGCCATTTCCTTCTCCATCTCATTTTACAGATGAAGAAACTGAAGCAAACAGGATTAAGTGACTTGCCCAGGGTCACACAGCTGGTAAGTGTCTGAGGGTAGATTTGAACTCAGGTCTTCCTGACTCCAGGCCCTGCACTCTATCCACTGTGCTACCTAGCTGCCCACCTCAAGATCATATTAGTTTATTTGGATGCCCCATCACAATGTAGTAGACTCATACTGAGCTTGTAATCACTAAACACTTCCCTGCTCCTCCCTGATCTTTTTCAGAAGTTTTTTTTGTTGTTATTCAGTTGTTTCAGTTGTGTCTGACTCAGCCTCACAGAGTTCCTTTCTTCCTTTTAGATAAAGCTCTTCATTTTCTTTCCTTATTTCCCCAGCTGCTATTCCCTCCCTCCATCCTAAACTACTTTATATTTAACTTGTTGTTTTTGTTCAGTTGTTTCAGTTGTGTCCGACTCCTTGTGACCCATTTGGGGTTTTCTTGGCAACTATGTTACAGTGATTTGCCATTTCCTTTTCCAGCCCATTTTACAGATGAGGAAACTGAGGCAGAGTTAAGTGACTTGTGCAGGGTCTCACAGTTAGCAAGTGACTGAGGCCAAATTTAAACTCAGGTCTTCTGACTCCAGCTAAGTGCTCTATCCAAGATGCACTGTATCTAACCACTTAGTATGCATTTGTATTTATTTTCTTTACATTTATGCTACATACATTTTCATATCTACTCATTTTCTTCCCCTCCCTCCTCATTATAATGTAAACTCCTCGTGAGTAGAGATTGTTTCATTGTGCTTGTATTTCCAGCCCCAGTCACAAAGTTAGGCACTTGGTGAATGTTTATTGAATGACTGGTTTGCAGATACTTTCATACATTATCTTAGTTGAGCACAACAATCTAATCTGCACTAGTAACTATTATAGGTGTTACCCCCTTTTACAAAGAAAAGATATTAAATTAAATTAAATTCTGGTAATACAACTAATTGATGTGAGATAGAATCTAGGTCTCTTTTGACCACAAATTTCAAATTCTTTTCACTCAAACTTGTTTCGCTTTCTTACCTACTTCATAGAGTTGTTATCACGATCAGGTGACATAGCATACGTGAAAACATTTTGAAAACTGTCAAATGTTTATCCGGATTTAAAGGATTATTAATAAAAAAAACAACTTGCTTTCTTCCTCCTCCTCCACCCCTGCACCTTGTATCCTTTTGTTGGCCTTCTGATCAAGAAGTCATGCAGTTCATGGGAATGACTTGCAATGATTTGTAACATCGATGTTGCTTGGATTGTCCCAGGATGATTGTCTAAAGTCACTTCAAGCTTTAAATCTATAATTTTATGACCCCTTAAATGCAAAACAGATCTTAAACAGAGAGGCTTCCTTTTGCCTTTTTGAGTAACCCTAATGTTTAGGGGCTATACAGGTAAGCAGTTCCAGTTATACCTATATAAAAAGATTTGAGGTCTGCAATAGAGCGATTATATTTGGACAGAGAAGGAAAGAAAGAAAGAAAGAAAGAAAGAAAGAAAGAAAGAAAGAAAGAAAGAAAAGAAAGAAAGAAAAAAGAAGAAAAGAAAGAAAGAAAAAAGAAAGAAAGAAAAAAGAAAGAAAGAAAGAAGAAAGAAAGAAAAAAGAAAGAGGAAGAGGAAGAAAGAGGGAAAGAGAAAGAAAGAAAAAAGAAAGAGGAAGAAAGAAAGAGAGAAAGAAAGAACAAAGGAAAGAAAGAAAGGAAAATTCTCTCAGGGCATGAGCTGGGAGAATTCATCAAAATGGGCCTCAGGGTAACTGGTTCATTCTCTGTCATCCTATATAATATCTCCTCAAATGACTTGGAAAACTTTAATTACGTTTGTGCCTTTTCTTTCAGCTCCTGTTATCTTGTGAACTTCTGCAGGGGTGGGGGGAAGAGAGAAGGAATGGGGATTGGAGACCGAGTGGGTTACAGCACAGCCTAGGCTCTCTCTAAAGAGCTTTTGTTTCCCTGCCCAGGTATTAAGTTGATGGCACAACAATCAGAGGTGCATTTGGTTCCCTTTCCCCCTCCCCTTCCCTGGGTCTGAATGTGGGCCTTGTGTTCTCCCAGGCTGCCATCCTCAGGCTTGCGCAGGGGACCAAAAGAGAATGGGCCACAGGAATGTACCTAGAACAGAGACAAATTGTTCAAGCCTCCTGAAGAAGGAAAGAAAAAAAGGGGTGGGGGAGGCGGAGAGAAGAAAAACGTTCCTTGTAGTTTCAGTTTCTCTAGAGATATTTGGAGGATAGCACGGCAATTTTTTTTCAAGGGGGGAAGGGGCCAAAAAGAGAGAGGCTCGTTTTGTCAGCACAGTGGCCCATAGAGAAAGGTGACATTTGAGAGAACAATTGCTAGGTTGTTTGGGCACATTCGCAGCTATGAATGAGGCTTAAGAAAAGGTGTCTTTGGACTCCTAGTAATAGTCATCTTCATCATTCCTGCTCTCTCTCTCTCTCTCTCTCTCTCTCTCTCTCTCTCTCTCTCTCTCTCTCTTGCTCTCTCTCTCTCTCTAAGTTGCCTTATGAAATAAGGGCACACAGGTAATAAACAAAGCACTATAAAAGATCAGATTGTGGTATACCGTGGGCTCATTTCATTGTAGGAGCAAGGCATTCTGCTCACCACTACCACCACCACCACAGCAGATGCCTCGCCTTCAGTGCTGGGGCTAGAGGGTGAGGTGGGAGGGTGTCACTATACCCCTCTCTTCCCTCCCCCAAGGCCACATTATTTGGAAGGGGCTCTGGGAAGTCCTCTTGGTCATCTGATCCACACCAGACAACAACCAGTGTCAGAGGAAAGGATGTCAGGGGACAGACGGGGACCCTTGGATGTGCTCATTTGGATTTTGGATTTGACATTAGTTCCTCAGTTTCAAGCCATGTGTCAGATCCAGGTAAGTTGCTGCCTGGGTCAAAACAAGTATTTGTACACCCTCTAGCTTTGCTTCCCTAGGAAAGGTTGCCGCCATGTGCCTTTACTGTGAGACTTGTCTGCCTTGGCGTAGGAATTCTTGGGTGACCTGGATGCAGATTCAGGAGGATGGTTCCTGTTAGTTTCTGCTGGGGGGACCCTGAGAGATCAAGAATGCAGACCTCTTCAAATCGGGTTTGAAAGACCAGGATGCTGTCCAGTTAGTTGCTGGGCCATTTTTGCAACGGATGGAGAGAGGTATAAGTGATTCTCTTTCGTCTGCACTGATGTCCCAGCTGCCGGGTTCCTGGCTTAACCTTCCCATTGTTCCCTGGATGATTCAATACAATCAAACTGTGGCTCTCTGCTGACTGCTTTGGAGGGAGGGCCCTGGTGGAAGAGGGCTGGAAGAAAAAGCAAATGAGTAGCAGGCAACCGGAGAGGACCTAGTTTCTTACAGCATGTCAGTATTCAGTGTCCTCTGCTAAAGTAATTCATCCAAACAGAGCTGCTGAAAGTCAGTCTCCCATAGGCTAGGACTTGGAGCTGATAAGTGGAGAGTTCTCTGTGTGAGCCCAGGCTTTGGGGCTTTCTGGGCATTATTCTTCCCTTCCCTGGGCCTTGTGCATGCCTTGAGTCTTGGCAATCATAGCCTGGAGCAGAATATAATGAGGAATAGAGTGAAGTAACACATTGGCTTTTCAGGGAACAGGGTGATGTGTGAATATGTCTGTGTGAGGTTTATGGACAAGCATATGCCTAACACATATATTTTAAAGGTACTTTATAAGGCCTCATAAATACACAGACTTTATTTATTTCCTGTGTCCTTATTTCATTGATGCGTGAAAGTTCATATGCTTAAGAGTGGATATTGGTATTTAGTATTTGGTTCTATCTCTTTTTTAGAGAAGGGCTTAATAGCAACAATGTAATAATTTTCTCTCTCAAGTTATAATTGGCATCGTTCAAAAGACATCATATCATAGAGACAATGTGGTTTAGCAGAAAAATTAATGGCGTCACAAGTGTGTTCAAACCCTCTGATGTTAGCTGTGTGACTGTGGAAAAGTCACTTGATCTGTTGGAGCCTCAATTTCCTCATCCATAAAATGGACATAATACCTATGATATTATTATCTCTTAGGGTTGTTGTGAGGCTCAAACAAGATGATATAAGTGAAGTGCTTTGTAAATTGTAAAGCACTGTATAAAGCTAATGACTGTCATCATCACCATCACCATCACCATCATCATCATCATCATCACCATCATCTCATTCTCATCTTTTTCAATGGATTTCAGAGAGATGCAGTCCTGGAACAAGTCACTAGACTCTTATTATTCTTTTATATTTAACATGCTATGGATTGCTGCACAAGTTGATATAAATCATTGCTTTTTGCAGTTGAATAAAATAGTAGGATATAAGCTCATCTTTTTTGTAGGCTCACTGTAAGCATTCTTGGGACGACTCTAGCAGGAGACAGTAGTAATGACAGTATCCTTTCCCCATATAGTTTTGATCTCCGTGCTAGATCTCTCTATATTTTGGAAGATTTTTATTTGCTGCAGTTTGGAGATAGTGTTTGGTATGATGACCTCTATTTAGAACAGTGTTCTTTAGTTTTCATGTTGTTGTTGTTCAGTTGTTTCAGTTGTGTCTGACTCTTAATGACCTAACTTTTGGATTTTCTTGGCAAAGATACTGGAGTGCTTTGTCGTTTCCTTCTCCAGCTCATTATACAAATGAGGAAACTGAGGCAAATAGAGTTAAGTTACTTGCCCAGGGTCATACAATGTCTGGGTCCAGATTTGAACTCAATGAATCTTCTTGACTCCAGGCTGGGCACTCTATCCACTGTGCCACCTAGCTGCTCTTTTCTTAGGTAACCTAAACCAATCACTGTCTAGTCTTGTTAAAGATATCCTTCTATAAATTCTGGTGGCAATGGCCTGGTCATGAATAGCTATCAAAAAGTCTCCCATTTTTCTTACAAGACAAATATGTTTGACTCAGACTTTTGTTGAACCCCTTCTTTTTTCTTTTTTAAACTTATGGTTGCCTAAATTCATGTTAATGTCATGCATGGAGGGCCTTTCGATTCCATTCTTGTATCTTAGCTATTTCATGGGCTCTATCTGGAGATAAACCATTTTTGGTTTCATTCAACAAATCTAAAGGTGTGTGCCTGTTATCAGACAATACTATTTCTTGGTGAAGTGATATCTACTTGTTCCCAAAAGATCTCTATAGATTTTTGACCTGCATACATAGTATAAGAATGTCAGTCAATTCTGACGTTTGTCAAGGATGCATTCATTTTTCTGTACTTGCTTTAGGATGATGATTCTTATGTTTTGTTTAATATTGTGCAGGTTTTTATTAGCTTTTTTTTCCTTTAGCTCAATTCTGGTGCATTTTGCAGTTCTGAAGGAATACATCAAAATGGCTATTGTATAAGTCAGTTGCTTTAAACTGTTTCTTCCCTTTGAGTTTAGAGTTTAGGATACCAGTAAGTATCATGTATTCAGCCTCAGCCTTTCCTTGTTAACTTTACGGTGGTGTGTTGCTGCCTAGAGGAGAGAACAGCTTATTTTTAGGTATCACCTTTATCCATTGATTTCATGTGACCTCAGGATTCTAACCCAAAGTTTTCAGTTTCTAGCATTTCATGATGTACATTAAGGTGCACATTCTAGCCTTTCATGGTGCACATTTAAATGTATTGGCATTTTGATATCACTGGAGAAAGATTGCATGGGATAAAAGGGCTTTTTAATTTGTTTTGGAGGTACCATATTGCTTAATGTTTTCCATGCACATTACGTGATTAATATGAGGTTTTGGTTTGACTCTTTTAATTTGGAGTCATATTTATTTTTATTTAGGAGAGATGATAATGGACTGTGCAGAACCATAATGGGATCAAATTGTCTCTCATGTTTTATATTTTTGGTAGAACGTGTAAATAATTAATAACAACAATAATAGTAACAATAACTAGCACTTGTACAGAGCTTTATGTAATAATGTTCTCATTATGCTTGGGACTATTTACATATTTGCAGTATATAAATAAACCTTGAGTGGGAACTGAGTCAAATATTTTGTTATGATAAAAAAGGGCAATATAAATATCATGGAACTTTTGGGCAACTTGTTCAATAAAGAACTAAGAAACTGATAAGTATGTTTATCTTTATGCACTTATGCATCTGGGACTTTCTGGCATAACTTCTTTGCTCTTCAACCAATATATTTTTCATTTAAATATTTATAGATTTCTTTTAAAAAGTGACACAAGCTGTGAATGCACTATAGAAAGTCCATAAATACCTTCTTGGCCTTTATTTAGAAGTGTTGCTAGTGTTCTGATTCTTTAGTGATAGATATGTCATATCTTCTGTTAAGAAAGTAGAATCAAGTTGAGGTCTGAGAGGGAGCTGAGAAAATGCTTTGGTAGCCCCTTGTGGCGGCACATTCCTTTAATCTCAGATATCTGTGAGTCCAAGGCTCTTGAATCTCTTGAGCTTTGAAATTTTGAGGTGTAGTGGGCTATGCTGATCTGGTATCTGCACTAAGTTTGGCACCCATATGGTAAATTAGCTGTCTGCACTAAGTTTAGCACTAATATGGTAAACCGGGGGTGGTAGTGGGGGCAGGGAGTAGCATGGAAACTGAGCAGGTCAGAACTTCCACATTGATCAAAAGTGGGATCAGTCCTGTGAATAGCTCCTGTACGTTCAACCGGATGAAATGGGGAGAACCAATCTTTAAAAAAAAAAAGGAAAACACTTTGCTAGTAATTTAGCCACCAATGTGAAGCATTTGAGCCAATAATTATGAATCTCATTCAGCTATGCTACTTTCCACTTTTCAAAGAAGCTAGAGCTGTGGTCCTCTTCCTTGATGGAACTGTTTTGTCCTTCGATGGACAAAATCGGTGGTGCTCCTTGCGTTAGTACCTCCTAGAACAGAGCTTGTATACTGGAGACTTAACCATTTCAGCTCTGGAATTCCTACCCTGGAGCTCGTGCTACCTTATGTAGCTGGCACTCGTCATGCATCATTTTACACCTTGTCTTCCTGTCACATATATATATTTGACCTATATACCATATACTTTGAGAGTGTCTATCAATTCCATTCCTCTTTCTCCTCATTACTATTTTATTGTTATGGAAAAGTTGTCTGATATGGATAGTATCTGGCATATAGTAGGTGCTTAATAAATATTTATTGATTGATTACCACTTGGCCTTTCTCTATAGTTAAGGTAGGATGATAATAACAACAACAACAACTAAGATGTCTATTTCTTCCTGATATCCCTATGAGGTAGGTAGGACCTATTTTATCAGCACCCTTTTTAAAGATAAGAACTCAGAGTAATAATTTGAAGATGAAGAGAGAAATCCCAGTTGTATGTACCACAGTTAGCACTGGGACTTTTACTCCAATTCCACCATTTTTTTTTACTAGACCACTCTAATTTCTCATAATCAACAATCATTCTCACTCTTACAGGTTGTTCATGTTCATGGAACCTACAAAAGGTCAGAAAGTATCTTTGAAATATACACAAAACACCCTTATGAGATGAGGAGGCAGTGTTATTGAGTGGGAAGAGCATGAACTCTGGACTCAGTGGACTTGTGTTCAAAAATTGCATCTGATGCTTACTAACTATGTGACCATAGGCAAGTCACTGAACCTCCCTGGGCCTCGGTTTCTTCATCTATCAAAAGAAGGGATTCAAATAGATGATCTCTGAGGTCTCTCCTAACTAGAAAGCTATAATTCTATGACTTGTGCACATAAATTAAGTCACTCATACAAAAACATTCAAAATCTACACAATAAGATGCAAAATGAAAGGTATTCTACATCATGGCCATGCATATTAAAATAGAAGGTATATGAATAGTTCTTATATCTTTAGTGTTTTTCCCCCCCATTTTTACTGGGCCTATTAACCT